AGTGGCGGAAATACTCCGAAAAGGTTGCTTTAACTTCTTTGTCAAAAATTGTTGACTTCGGTGAAAATAACAGCACAAAAACGTTAGCCTTAATTTGGTGACCAACTAGCGACAGTTTAATAGCACATGTGAAATTCTGGAAAGTTAAGAGATCACTAAACGTACAATTGTGTCATCAATATCTCAAGTATTTGATCCACTAGGGCTCCTAAGTGCATGTGTAATTTTAATAAAAATTTCGAATGTTATTTGTGAAAATTCAAATTCCAAGGCATTTGTTAATTTATTGTGCAGTAAATCAAAGGTTAAACCATTTACCATGTCTCGATTGGAATTACGCGGTGCTCTAGTTTCAGCTAGATTGTATGAAAAGGTTTTGAAAGCTCTAAGACTGAAAATACAAAAATGTGTATTTTGGACAGACTCAACCTTAATACTTAGGTGGTTGAACCCCCCACCCCCCCAAATTAATTAAAAAAATTTGTTAGTAACTGAGTGTCGGAGATTTAAACTTTGACAGGTTCAAACCAGTGGAACCACGTTCAACTCAATTCAACCGAGCTGATCTTTTGTTACAAGGTGTAAAGACGAAATAGAAGACGCAAAAATATGAAGGCATGGACCGGGTTATTTAAAATTTAGACGAAATTCATTGGCCCACTATTAATTTGAATCGCGAAGAAGTACTTTCTGATGTTCAAAACAAGGTAAAAGTTCTTATTGCTCGTCAAAATTCAAATATTAGTACATTTGAAATATAATCTAATATAAATACTTTAACACGAGTAGTAATTCGAAACAGAATCGTTATTTCGGACCACTTTCAGTTCAAGAAATTGAAGATGCTTTAAATCGCTTGCCAAAATTCTTGCAAATTGAATCATTTTCTCATGAAATTGAATTACTCAAGAAAGGTAAATTTAATTTTAATAAAATTGGAAATTCAAACCCTTTTATTGATGACGTTGGTTTTTTGCGTGTTGGGGACAGACTGTCAAATGCAAAGTATGATTTTGAAAAGAAATATCGACTTTTGTTTTACCAAAACAATATTCGTTCACGAAATTATTATTTAAAAACGAGCAAAAATTATTTCATGCAGGGCCGCAACATATATTAGCATCGATACGCGAAAAATTTTGGCCAATTTCGGTGCGGTATTTAGCTAAGCTGACAGTTCGAAATTGTTTCAAATGTTTTAGATTCAACCCAAAAATTTCAAACCCAATTATGGGAAATTTACCTGAGCAACTCATTTGTCCAACCCATCCCTTCGATATAACTGGCGGCGACTACCCAGGTTCATTTTACATGGAAAGTAAAACAGGTCTTGGTTTTAAAACTTCAAAAGTTTATGTTGCACTTTTTATATCTTTTCTGACAAAGACAACGGAACCAATTTTGTAGCAGCTAGTTCTGAATTAATCTTTGTCGTAGCGCGGTGAAAAAATTACGCAGAACACCATGTGGAGTACAATTGTACCCCACTCTAATTTGAACGCTTTATGAAATTTTATGCGACAATTCTCGTAGATATACACTGTAACAACAAAATTAAATAGTTAATGTAAATGTATAATGCATACTCTACTCATATTAATTCTTACGTTTTTCCATACATAATCTGCAAATTACCTGTTTTACACTATGGTCAGTGCATGCAAATTTTTTGCAGTAGCAACATTGTTGCCTGGACTTGCGATCTTTCTTTCTATTGCACAAATAACATCGTCCAGAAACAGGTCGTTCAGGATCTTCGGAATGGATTGGTGCCTTTCCAATTTTGGAAACATTTCTAGCACATATGATTTGACACTGTTGGGAATTCTTGGTTCTGTTTTAAATCTTTTGACATTTTCCCTAATCAATGGCTCTCCTAAGTCCAAAAGAAATTTTCTTCTGCTGTGTTTGCTTTTTGATTTTTCGTCTGGAAATTTTGCACTCCATAAAATTACTGCATTTAGTGCCGCGACGTCTAATAGCTGTCCAAAAATTGCAATCGGCTATCTATTATTAATTCGACTAGCTGAATATTCTTTTACCATTTTATCGGTAGTGTCTACAGCACCTTTTGTTTTATTATAATGAAGTATTATGTCAGACTTGTACTTCATATTTTCTCCCGCAACGGAATCATCATGATGCTCCGCAGACAACATAAGGACAGCCTTATTCTTGCTAGGCACATAGGACACAATTGTATGTTGTTTCCGAAAACCAAACGTTGACGAAAAAATGCGTTTATGAGGATATGGGAAGAGTTCTTCGGGAATATAAGAGTCATTTGTTTCTCTAATAGTGTATCTGCTAGGGACAAACTTGTAAAGAAATTATCTGTGGTTATGCCATATTCGCTTCCTAGATCACCGTCCGACAAGATCTAAGACGACTCTTTCGCCTTGATTCTTTTTTGCTGTATTATTAATTTTTCCCAAGTATGGTTGCATATTTATAGTGTACGAATTTTCCTTATCTGCTGCCGCCCAAATTTTCATACCATATTTATCTGGTTTACTTTTCATATAAACTCTAAATGAACAACGACCTCTAAATCCAACTAGTTGTGGTTGTGTTTGATTTGGGTGTTTTCATTCCAAAGTTTAAAAGTCTGAAAAATTGGACAGGTATAGGTATTATTAGTGAATAATGCCATATATAATTCGATAACTTTACCTATTCTGTCTTATCATTAGTATGCCGGACAATTATTTCTATAATTTCAGAAACAGTCCAAATGAATCAAGTTTTGGAGCAATATGGATACTGTGTTAATTTAGTCCAGGCTTCTTCCTAATTATATTTGCAACTGTTCGTCGTTTTTGTCTAAGTGGCATTTTATACCATTTTGTGTTATCTTTGGTTCGATAAAATAATCTACCTTCTTCTAAGATTTCTTCACTATCGTCAGTCTCTATTATACTGCTCACAGCACCACTGTCATTTTCTTCTAATATAATAACGTCTTCAGACACTATTATGACTATCTTCTTCACCATCACAGAATTCTAAATCGGCATCATCGAGATCGTCATTCAGTAATTGTTCTAACTCTAAATCGGTTAATTTATTTGGATTGCGAATATTTAGTTTATCAGACAGTGTGTAGCATTTCACGCTAGCGTTATGATTTTAAACATCAAAAATGTCTGACACCAGCTGATACCTACTGTATTGCGCATGACCGCGACTAATCAAAATGAGTATCTTGGCATACCATACGGGTACAAGTGTATCCCACATTAAATTTTTTTTTTTTTTTGCTTTTTTGATGCACAAAAAAAATACTAAATACTAAATGACAATAAATAAAATTGCGGAACCCAAAGGTGTAAATGGAAGAAGACTCACAGCACTCTCCAAGAAGGCGATTTAGTTCTTGTGAAAAGAAGATAACCTACCGGTTATGTACTGGGAACTTGGAAGAGTTACGACATTGCATCCCGGAAAAGACCGTGTTAGTCGCATAGCGACATTGAAAACTCAAGCTGGAACAGTTATTGACAATTTTTTGACTTTGCTCTTCCTTTTTTATTTTGTATCGACAGTGGTAGGTTTTAAGGCTGGGAGCATCTTAAATATTTTTGCTTAATTTCGTAGTTTTCAATTAGTGCGCATGTGTAACTTATAAGGTTCCGTGCAGGGTGCCTTTGCTTTTAGGCAGACGAGAGTCGCTCGATCTCCGAATCGCACTCATAAGCGCAGTAGACACGGCCTTAAAAGAAAGCAATCTTGTCGGTACTAAGAATGTTGGGATAATTTGTTTCTTTTACAAAAATACATAGTTGTGTTAGTGGAAATTCTTCAGCCTTTGCAAAGGCTCATTTCCTAATGTTTTCAACGATAACACAGTGATGACAACAGTGATTTTGATATAATATTAGATTTCTCTGCAAAGCAACAGAGTTGGAGCAGAAGCGTCAATACAGAGTTGTAACGTGCTTATGCGCAGTTTGGTTGTATTCGTCTTCGTGCTACTGTGTTCGCGGCTGTTGTCCTCGTTGTTGCGTATTTCTAGAATAAATATCGAAAAAAGACATTATGTGAACAATCCAAATAACTTTTGTAATATCTGTGGTAGTTATGTCGTAGTAAAGCAAAGTCCTAGGCTCCTCATACTGTTTGTTCCGTTTGCGTTGAAGCATTAAGAAACTGAAAAAAAGGTAGGAAGAAATGTTTGTCTTCCTATGGTATGGCGAGAGCCTAGAAATCACAGTGATGATTGTTAAGTTTGTTCGTGTAATGTTGAAGGATTCAACAGAAAGAATAAGAAACAAATTGTGTATCCCAATCTTGACTCCGCTATTCGACTAGATGTACGGATACGTATCACTCCAACAGAACTAAGAAACATCATATCGTCAGAATCAGAGGAATCTAATTCCGACCCAGATGACTCAGATTTCACACCACTTTTCAGAGAGCCCGATGTGTTTAACCAGAGCGAATTAAATAATTTAATTAGAGATTTACACCTTCCAAAGAATGCATCCGAATTGTTAGCGTCCAGACAAGCTTTTACAGGGATCGCAAAAAGAGTTATGTTAATATTTTACTCAAGTAAGCGTACTTTAAAAAGCGTTTTACATACCAAAAAGGGTTTTTTTTCAAGAAGACGGATTTTCTTGAATGGTTACTTTGAACGCATTGAGAAATTATTTTTAGAAGGCGCGGATTTACGTTTCACAGCAACAAATTCAATAACACTAGAAACACAAAAGACGCCTACACAGGTCAACTATCTGCGCATCTACCTGCCAATCTCGGGATCCTGAACAACCATCATAGGTACAATACTACGCCTACCGGAACATGGCTAAGACACTAAATTTTGCAGTTCAATAATAATAACTGCATGACAATAATTTCCAACTCATTTCTCAATGTTTGGGGGATTGTTCTTATTCGTGACGCAGTCTATCCAAAACACGCCTAACATTCCACCATACAGCCACATTTCAGTCACCTGTCATCCGTTATTATCCCGGGCACACTTGTTGCAGGTATAGAGGGAGAATTTTGAAAATAATCGACAGCAAGAAGATAAGCGTGTTAATGATCGATTTCGGCAGCGACCACGAAGTGTCACCAGACATCCTTTTTCGCGAAGTATTATATACCGACATCAACGCGTTCGCCACCAAAGTGAAACTGGACAAAATTCATGCGCTATCCGGCAAATGGCTGACGTCTGACTACGACAGTTTGCTCGCTTTGGTCACGGATTGGTGTCGGATCATCGTCAAAGGCCCGCTGGAGGTGGACATGCCCAACGTCGAGGCCTACAACGAAGATGGCTTGTTCATCAATCAGAGGATAATCGAAATCTGCCCGAATCTCTCTCACGCGAATTTCCCGCAGCTCACCGACACAGACGACGAAGAGTGCGTAGTTATCGAGAATGAAGAGGTGATTTTTTCCATTTTCTTTGGTTCGCCATGCCAAGGCAATATTCGACGTATTGGTTTCAGGTGTTCGATACAACAGACGGTGACTTGGACTGTGCGAAATATGTTTCGTGCGAAGACATGCTGGACTGGAAGTACAAACAAAGATGCGTACCCAAGGAGATGTTGGCAAAGGAAAAGGTATTTATAAAAATATGCAGGAAGTCTATAGAAAGATAATTAGAATTATCACTGGCCATTTTCCTGCTGAGGCATCTTACTGACATCATGTCTCAATTGCTCGGATCGTAGTTCTCCGCCCTTTTCCGTCTTGAGCTGCAATAGAAGTTTCTTGCCGACTATGACCCATTTGTTATTGATTTTTTCTTCTACAATATCTTCTTTCAGTCCATTCGTTTTCCTCCCAAAATACCATAATGTAATATAATTACCATACCATAATATAATTCGTTTACAGAATGTTGTTATGGTTGACATTTAAAGACGCTGCAAAGTTTGTCTTACACAAATTGGGCTGGAATTAATTGTTATTAAAAACCTACCTAGAAAGTTACAGAACTGCTAAAACAAATTTTGTTTACAAATTTAAGTGCTAGTATTTTAGTTTTTATTAGTTTAGCTAGATAGTAGTAAAATTATAACATATGATTTAAATTTCCGTAAGAATAAAAAAAACGAGAAATCGGATAGGTCGTTCAGGAGATATGGCAATACCATATGCCCATGAGCCTCAGACAAAACTTTCTAATAAATTCTAAAGCTTTAACTTTAATCTTCAACTTTACGATTCGTCCTATCGATCGAATCCTCTTAAAAAACAGTATCGTACTAGACTGTTCAACAATGGCTTTACCCTAATGCAAGATTTCTGAATGTATTTTATTCGACACGTAGGTCAGGCTGGAAATAAGCGGCGTGATGTCATACAACCAAGTAGCTCTGAAAGAAATTGGCGAGAATATCAGCGAAGACATGTATAACCTGACGATCGACATCCAAGACTATGTGAATAATATTCCGCTATTGAAAGGTAATATCGTTCATATAATTAGTCCGTATGTATGTTTCAAAAATTATTGAAAACTGTACATGTTGAGGATGAAATAAAGCGCCATTTTTAGTCCTTTATTTCAGTATATTTTTGGCTGTTGCGAAAATCTCATACTGCAGTTAAGTGATAATCAATCAAAAACGCCGAGTTTTTCAATTGATCCGCTACATCTTTACATTAGTGGCGGTTTTACTAACGTTACAAGATATAGATAGGGTCATGTATGTCAGTTACGTAATTAATAATAATTTTGGGAAAAAAATTAAATAGGCGTTTTGATGGAAACAATAACAATTTGTATATTGAAGTACCAGGAACAAATTATAATATCTATTGTGAACCACTTCCTTTATTTTTTTTAGATTGTCCCCACTGAAAATGTTTTTTTTATCTGAGTATACCCAATATCATTATCATCTGATCATCGTAATTTAGAAAATTTTACTTAAACGCCCTGAGTTTTGTATGAACACCCCTTGATTGTTAACAGGATTGAATAAAAGGAAAAAATAATGTTTATTCTGTAAACTGAAGAAAATTAAATATACAAATGCACACCAACGCTTCATCCAAAAAAAATCCGCTGCGCTTCATCAACCAGAAAATTGGCCCTGTGACTGACATATGAAGATGTATTTTTTAATTGATTATAAAAATCTACGTCCTTCTTGCATAAAAGGTTAACACTATTTTTAGAGCAATCTAGAAATTTCATATTTTAGTCAATATCCTAATGCATGTTAATATTAAGGTGATAAAATAAAGTGCTTAATTATGGATGCCATAACGATAATTTCTGCTGAAGAAAGGAAAGTGATCAGATTAAATGCTGCTTTTATTCATTTATAAAGGAAGAAACATTTTTGCCGGCGTTTTGGAACTTTTCAACTGTCACAACATTCAGAATACGCTACGGAATTAAAACTGTGCTGCCAAAAACCCACACCAATTGATTAATATCATAGCTATTATGTAAAAATTGATGTGTGTTTTGAGGCTATGGTAAGCCGCAAAATTTCACCCACTAACCTTCACTTTGCGCCATTTGCTTTCTAAACGGCGATTTCCACACGCCACCGTAAAAATGTTACATTTAAACCGAAAGCTGCCGAATTGACAAAGTGTCAGTGGTCGTATTGGTTCGTTTAGTTTGTTAGCTAGGACTTATTGGTTGAAAACGACATTTCAAATGAACACGCATGTGCATGACCCAACTTAATGTTGTTATCCATCGTCGCTTCAAAAGTTCTTGCAATATTAGCATTAGACAGGGCCTCTATATATCTAGTAGCTATATGATTGAAACTCACTTCTCTAACAGCAGTTGCGAGCATTTTATTGTCACGATCGCTATAGTTCTTAGAACAACTAGCTTAAATGACACTAATTTCGGTGTTTGAAAATCATAACAATTCGTGTTGATAATATTGATAAAAAAAATAAAAATGTTCGATCCTATTGACTAGCTTAAATTTTTGTATACCGTCGGACCGAACTATATCAATAACGAAAAAATACGACGCGAATTTAGACTTTAAGGTTGGGGTACCGTGCGTCGCCCAGTACTCAGTAGACGAGGTGTGGTACCGAGCCCGAGTTAAGGACGTCGGAGACTTCGAGACGTCGGGCGTCGTCGAGGTAATATTCGTCGACTACGGGAACCTCGAATGGGTTCCAGTGACTAAAATCCGAGCGGCGAGATACGAATGGCTGCAAATGCCGCAAGAGTCGTGGGAGGCGCGGCTGAACTTCGAATTGGGGAAGAAGTCGGAGGCGGGGGCAGTATTTGAGGTTAGATTTTTGTGACGCTATGAAATTGCGTCTACCTTTATTTGATACTTTTGACAATTCCTAGTTTATCTAAAAACTTATAGTGCTTCTAGAAACTTAAGACTTGTGCAGCAATTAACTATTAATATATCCGATTATCATTGTACAATATACACTCTTAGATTCTAAGGTTGACGTTGGATTGATTTTTTTGTTTTTTACTTGAACCCTTCATGCTCGGCGTAAATACTGCTCAACACTACCGTTTTATGCTTTCAACTTTCGATGGAACCAGAAAGTGTAAAGCAAAATTCAGTGTATGATTTTCTATCCACCTAATCATCAACCCAGTCAACACTGACAGACATAATCTAACAAATCATCGTCTTTGCAAATACTTTAATAAACATTTCACCTTGCCTGCTTAACTTGCATTATAACAATGCTAAAAGAGCACAAATACATTAAGCTATTTATCAGCTGTTGATAAGGTAATTCCTCAAAATAAACATTATCTTTACTTAGACAAACATTTGTTCGATCGGTGCTGCCACCTAACTTCAATCGGACTCTTTATAAGCTGCCCAATGTATTGTTCCTGATCTAGAAAAATCTTATTTTGATTATTGCTTATCCTAATTCCTATTCCTTGACATTTGTCTTTTTGTGCAAATTCTGATCTTTTATACTTTAGTTATTTTTTTATAGTTAAGGCAACCTCATGAGCATTGGATGTCTGTCAACACTCAATATTATTACTATAGGCTTGCATGAAACCCTTACTTCTAACCTCGCTTTGCAGGTAACATCTACGTTTGCATTTCTTTTTGTTTTAAAAATCCGTTTACCACCAGTTTAAACTTATTTCACCATGCTTTGTTTTGCTCAAATGAATTCAGCTCATTCCTTATCGCTGTTTATATCACAAGAACAAGCCTCCTCAAGAGTCACAAGATTTTTGATTTTGGCAGTCTCTTTGATTTTTTTCTTTCTTCTGGTGTTTCTGTTTTCCACCACTCTTTTCTCTGTACTCTTTTGATGATAGAATTGATGTTAGACTGTTGAGGTAATAAAAAGAGTTCTAACACATGCATTTGTTTATACCACCTATTAAAGTGCTTGGAACCAGACATATTTAATAAAGGTCAAATTGTCAAACGACGAGAAGATAGGAAGTAGGAATTATAAACACTGTTGAAAACTGCGTTTATTACAACAGTAACTTAGGCATTTGTTTTAGGCGCTAAAATCGTTGATCGGTAAAAAGCGACTCGTGGAGCTAGTCAAACCGAGTCCACTGACTGTCGATATTTACGACAATGAAGGAAAACTATGTTACCAAACGTTCTTGGATAGCGAGGTTCTTGAATGCCATTCGTAACTCGCAGCTAGTACCCAGTAAAGCATGTTTTTCAGTCGTTTCTCATTTGCATTGTTTATATTCCGACAGAGGGGTTATGTATAAGGTAAAGTCATGTTTTAGTGCCTTCTCTTAAGTTTCAGTTTTTGTTAACCTTATGTTGTAATTATTTTTTTCAAAGAAAATAAATTCATTTTCATTTAACATTTTTATGATTGACAATTCTTATACAAAACTAGTATACTCACACCTTCTTCAAAGATAGTAAGGTCAGTAAAAAGTTTTATTTACAACCTCCATTTTAAACTTGGCTTTGCGCCTTTAGTGGTGGGCTTGTCAACGCTAAGGTAAGGACCGCTGAAATTAATAAAATTAATACATAGTACATAAGCCGATTAACTCACGAAGAACAAGAGAAAGAAACTCTGGGGTTAGAAGATTATTGCGCATGTGCACGCTTAACGTCACAAACTTAAATGTGCATCATAAAATGATGATTTTTTGGATTGAATTCATAGTTACACAAGAAATCGTCTAATGGAAGGCAATTTTCACAAATTTCAAATCGCTAAAGGAAACCCACGGAAGTAAATTTATAGAAGCCAGAATAAAAACGGCCACGGCGCATAAGTTGCAGCGTACAGGGATGTACAAAAACAGATACAAGCTCTTTTTTTTTTTCGGTAATGGGTGAGTGCCTAGAGTATTTGCCTACTAAAAGCAAAGCAAAGAAAAAGAAATATACAATGATCGCATTGTGTCAATCGTTCATTTTACGAGAACCGAATCAATCAGTGACCGATTTCAATCAATCGTTCATTTCAATACTTTTTGTTACCAACAATAGTCACTGAATCCGAACAGTCCGAAGGATCGATTCAGACTCATTTGAATTTGTATTATTGTTGTGTCTATATGTTCTGTTTAACTGTTTTAGTTAGTATAATATTTAAATGTGTTCTGCTTTATATTGCATCATGATTTTATCAAAATAGGTGCTACGTATTGGGTTGTACAAGTAATACATTAATTTGTTTAAATTAAATACCTATGTGGAAATAGATATTTCATTTCGGTTCATCAGTCGTCCTGTATTCGGTCACTTCAGACCGGTTAGGCCGGCAGCCAGAGCGAACTAAGTGCTCAAATCGTTACGAATAAGCGGGATTCGGTCGATCCTATGAAGTGGTCGAATCAAAGTGACCGAATCAATCTTGTTTGACACACCTCTAGCTACGTAGCCGTAGCCAAGCGATCGGTAATGGCAGAATTATTAGTATTTACAAAATTAACAATTTTTTTTTCAGGGTCCCAACGGGAAAGTTTTCTCAAAAACCCCTCGAGATGAGCAACATATGTAACCCTAGTAAACTATGTAAAGTAAAAACTAGGTTAAGTTTCAAGAATTTTTTATTGGTATAATTAAAAAAATTAAAGCCTTATAACATGTTTTCATTTTAGAAGTACGAAGACTAGGGAGTCAAAGAGTGGAATGTTGTACCTACGAAAAAATTCAGAAGAAAAGAAATAAACTTTTGCACTTATTATGTGAATTATTAAAAAAATGAGCAATAATTCAAAAACATTTTCCCTTCGGGTTGGTTGTAGGCGACTTTAATACCTAAGTACTTATCTTGCCTAAATCTGTCATTCTAAAATTTTTATTTAATTTACCCTTAACCTCTTTTATTGCATTTAAATCTCGACTTAAAATTAATGTCATCAACTTACAAATTACATACATTGCTTTTTGATTAGTTTTTCTCATACATGAACAATAGTCATAATTTGAGCGAACAAAGTTAAAACTTAACATGAAATTATGAAAGCATTCATACCAATCTCGTGAACTTTCTCTCAGACCATAAAGAGCTTTCTTTAATAAACATACTTTATTTGATTTCACTTTGTGTGTATAAGCGTAAGCTTCTGATTTGATTTTTCTATTTAAAAAAGCTGTTTACACGTCCATTTGTTGTATATTCCATCCTTGATTGCGTGCTACTGATAATAAAACTTTTAAAGTTCACATTCTTGCTACTGGAGTATATTTCTTCTTCTTCTTCTTAATATAATTGTTGAAATCTTTTTGCGACTACTCGTGCTTTATATTGTCCATTCGTTTTAATTCTATATATCCATTTTCGATAATTTTCAGGTATATCAACTATTGTCCATGTTTCACTCTCCTCTAAACTTCTTATTTCTTCACTCACTGCTTTCTTCCATTTCTTTGTTTCTGCGCCATTTTTTGTGTCTTTGGTCGACTTGAATCTAATCTTTCAGTGCTTCTTTCATTGTCTTTTTTCTTCGGTGAGCTTTGTACCTCCTGACCCTTATCCCTGTCTGTTTCTTTAACTTCTTTATTTTCTTCTGAATTTTCATCTTCATAGGAGAAACTTTCCCTTAACTTATATATTTAGTGTCACTTTCAATAAATTGTACATTTCTACTAATTATCACTGTACCGCTAATTAGAATTTTGTAGGCCAGGTCGGTGTATCCTACTAAGATTACTTTGACTGCTGTTGAGGGTCCCAATAGAGTCGAACGGTTCACGGTTGGCTTAACCCTTTTGGGATGCGAAATGGTAAAAAAGCGAACACGAAAGGCAAACGACCCACTGTGAAGACTTACCGCGGGCTCTCGCGTCGTCGGTTCCGGACGGGGCCCCGTTTATTGCACTCGCGTTTGAAACTTGCGGACTTGCGGAATCGGCTCTGTTTCTGGCGCCGTACCACGCGGAAGTGTTTATTTGAATCTCAAAGTCAAAAACTTCCTCTTTTTCTTGTGCGATTGCGCACAAGCCGTCACATGGGTTACGCGGGTTTAAGAAACTGGGTGAACGCGCAAATTTAAATTACCGATCCCAAAAGGTCTCTAACCCGACTTTTGTGAGTTAAAAGTACTATTGGAAATAGAAACAATGGATTCTGAACAACTGCTTTTGGATTTAATTTTGAACCTCTACATTCTTCTGGAATTCTAACAAATGCAGTGCTTCCATACAAGCGTAAATTAGATACATTGGGTTTTTTATTAAAAAAGACTTCATAAGGTATTTTTTGAACTTTTGTATTTACTAACAAACGATTTCCTATATAGGCCCGAATACATTCTGGCTAATAAGATTTTTCAAGTTAGCATGATTCATAATTGTTCTGTTGTATCTTTCTGTTGCGCCATTCAACTCATGAGTATAAAGAGGTCCTGGTCGTAGATATATTCCTTCGTTGTTAACATAATCACAATGAATTTATTTTATTTTCCTTCCCTTCTGATTTTGAACTAATTTGACATATTGCACAAAACGATCAAATACTTCATTTTTGGGTTCAAACTACAGCAACTTTACTGAAATAATCAATAAAACTTACACAATATTTTTCACCTTCATAACCTTCCTGTTTTATTGGGCCGTGCACATCTGTATGAATATTCTGCAGTATATCATTTGCTTTACTTCTTTTGTTTCAAATTTTAGATTCGAAATTTTGTTTTCTAAACAAGTTTCACACTTTAAAAATTAATTTTCTAGTCTATTTGGTAAACCCTCGACTAATTGTAAATTACACATCAATTTTAAATTTTCAAAATTTTGTGTGACCCATCAAACGATGCCATTTTTCCTTCTTTGTCATTTCTTGCACATTTGTATGATGATAGTTCATATAACTTTTTTTTTTGGTTGCTATGGCAATTAATGTACCTTTACATTATGTTATGAATGAATGAATTATGTTTCATATTTGGCACAAAATATACATTTTTAATATTTATTTTTATGATTCTGCCACAAACTTCAAAGCATACATTAATATTTTCTATCTTTTTCAATGTTAGAGAAAAACCTTCACCTACCTTGACATTTACTAGTTTTGTAAGATTTATGAATTCTGAAAAATACTTATCAGTGTTTACTGTGGTCCAAACAGCCCCTGTCCAACACCCACGCAATGTGATTAATTGCTGAGAAATCTTCTGTTTTTGTCATCATAACCTCAACATGGAATGTGTAATTGATATCTTCTACTTTTGATGTACTTGCAACATGTTGACTATCTTCTTCTCTTCGTTGATAATTACCTCCGATTGCACTTTTAATGTTTTGGTAGATGTTCACTCTATCTATAATTTGCTGAACTTCCTTGACTTCTTGATGGCTGACTTGTGTTTGAATAACTTCTTGCTCCTCTCGTATCTCTCTGATTTCTTCGACATGAAACATTGAACACTTGTGACGTTTTATTTCCACTATTATTCTCTCATTTATGAAATTCTATATTTAGTTTTAATTGGACATACTAGACCGATTTTTCTTTTGCAGGTAAAGCATCTACAATGTCGCCTATATGAGAAATTTCCATTTGTCGTACCCGGTTCCATCAAACACATGCAAGATCAGTTTTTTTTCTTTTCAGTAGCCGTTTTACTTGAAGAAATCTCTTCTCGATTTTTGATTTTTCAATAACCACGGACCTCTACTACCAGGTTAAAATGATGAAAACGGAATCTTTATTATAAACTGAAACTAACCGTATTACATTTCTACTAATAAACGTGATTTCAAAAAGACCATGTGCACCACTGTTCTTCTTCTTCTTCTGCGGTTGGCGCTGCTACTAGGCAATTTGCCAGCAGTATTTCGAACTGCCCCAAATAATCCAGAATGTTCTCCTGGGGAAGTTTACTTTTCAGACTTCTGTTTCTATTTAAAAGGCATCTAAAGCTGCTAAGGAGATAGGGTCAGTTAGTAGGCAGGTTCAGTGCTCCCAACAGGCAAGACTGTCACATCTAAAAACAAAAAAGGACAAACAAACTCCAGCACTATGGATCTTGGGACGGGCGTTCCTGACTTAGGATGGACCGTGGGACCAGGTTTATCAGATCTGAGACAAAACAGAGTCAAATACATACATTTTAAAATTCCCTAGTATTGTTACTAGGGAGAGGCTGTCCGACCTGGAATACTAACTTAAAGTTTTATCCTATTATAATCTAAAAAGCATATGACCGAAAGTCCGAAATTTCTAAAGTTTACGTATAAATCCACAGCCGGGACTTTTGTTATAGGGCACTCGAAAAATATATGATTGAGGTTCTCAACCCCGCCACACTCGCAGAAAGGAGAGTCCCTAACCCCTATCCGGGCCAAGTGTTTCCCCACCGCGCAGTGTCCAGTTCTCATTCTAATTATAGTAGTTATATGTCGTCTGCCTATGTAGGCAAGTTCAGAAAACCATCTTCTATTAGGAAAATTACGTTGTATTAACTTTCTATATCTTTTACCTTTGTCTTGTATTGGGTTTTTCCACCATTCTCGAAAAACATTAGTAATATCTCTAAGAATTGTATTCTTCACGTCATGTGTCCAGTTTGATATTCAAGAGGATGTTTAGGTCTTTTCCTATTTTAGCCACTTTTTCATTACCTTCAATATCCGAGTGCCCCGGTATCTAGCCCATCCTAATGTCTACTCCCATACTTTTAGCCCTCATCATCATCTCTCGGACCTGTAACGTTATGTAGTCCATTTTAGTGTCGGAATTTCTGATAAAATAATAACTTTTGTAAAGGCTCTTTGTAGAGCAACTCTTAGTCCCTCCTTTATTGCTATCGTCTCTGCTGTTTTCTTTTCTTTATGAAGTTTTGCCGGAAATTTAGAATTAATTTTTGGTATATGAACACCAAATCCAACCTTCTCACCGTGTTTAGAGGCATCAATAAAAACCAGACAATGTGTTTGGATATATTTCTCTATTTTCTTACTAAAATGGGCTTCCGGATTTTCTCTATTTATATTTTAAGTGGTTCAATCACGGCAATAGAGTTAAAAAAGTCTACGTTAAAGCACGGGAAAGTCGCACTCGAGTAAAGTCTGTTACGGTAAGGCAAATAAATATTAAATGCCTGGACCAGGTAAGGGACACCCGATGTTCTATCTTCATCTCTATCTAAATCATCTCCTCATCACAATAATGTCGGAGATTCTCTATGTGGTCTGTTAAAGGGTGGTCTGCAATGGCTAGGACTCCAGCCAGAAAGGACACTGCCAGTTTTCTCCTCCTTCTATCCAGGTCCAGTTCCGATGCTTCCGCCAGCAAGACATTCGTTGGTGTTGACCTCATACATCAGAGCGCTATTCTCAAACTTTCAAAATGAATCGCGTTGAACTTGTTAAGTGCAGTCTTGTTATTGGGGTTCAAGAAGATGGAACCATAATCTAGGTGGGTCCTAATCAGAGTATGTAAGGTAATATAATACAGAGTAAGGTAAGGTCATTAGGATTTGCGGGTCTGCACCCCATAAAACCCTACTTACGCATTTCATTATATTAATTGCTTTCTTTGCTTTATCACAGCTATATTCCACGTGCATACTCCACTTTAAATGTTTTTGTAGCACCACTCCTAAATATTTTACATGGTTCTTAAAAGCAATTTCCTTATTATCTATTTTTATATTTACCGGCGGGGCTCTTCTCCTACCTTTTGTACAGCACACAGTGAAAGGTTGTTGTTCTCTAGCCAGTTCTGTAATGTTTTTAGAGCTCTATTAAGTTTGCTCACCAGTAACTCGATGTCTTTTCCTTCGCAGAACAGGACCGAATCATCCCCGTAACCCACTATTTTCACTTTCCCTTGAAAGAGTTTATATAATTCTAAAGTTGTTTAGTTTTTATGTACTTGGAATGTGAGCCAATAGTGGCAACGCCGCACGACAACATGAAAAAGGGAAGAGCGAAAAACCGCGTGGATAGTGGCGAATAAACTGTTAGAGAATTAGGTCGCAAAACGAGGGGATTGACCACATGTAATTTTTATTTAAATTAGTAGTGTAGAAGTCTATCTCTGTTCCTTTTGAAAATCAGTAAAAGCATGAGAAGTTCGCGTGGGTGTTATTTCAACAACCAAGCAAGTGAGAAAACCCCAACATATTATTGGCGCCCGAGCATCGGACAGACTTGGACATAAACGACGTATCAACCTGAGAATTGCAATCATCGACACTTGTCGCCTGTCAGACGAAAGCTAGAGCGATAATCAAGGTCAGTCCTTTCCAGTACCTATCACTTACCCGAAATATTTTGCCTGCGCACGTAATTCGAAAAATATAAATCTCAGACATTTGTCTCTCGTTCTGAATTGCAATCGCATTAAGTGGATTTACACGATGTCATTAGCTCTGTAGGCAAAAGTTTGAGGGTCTCGAATATAATAATCATAATAATAATTAAAAAAAAAAACTCGTAAACTTCATATAATAAAGACACGTAATTTCAATTAATCACCGACACAAAAACAAACCTCGAGCAAAAACCTCTTCGAATTAGAATATCTATCTATTTCACGCCGGCACGATGTCAGATGTAGGTGATAACGACTTACACGATTCAGAATTTGATTTAAACCGTTTAAAGCACAGCAGAGCCCAAATCAAGGGAGAATTAACTGGCTTTAAAACTTTTTTAGCAAAAAGTAATATCGATCAACATATCGAACAATTACAATTAAGATTTGAATCAATAAAACCCACTTTAGAAAAATTTAAATCAATTCAAACTCAATTTGAAGAATTATTATTAAGCGATTTTCCGGATAATTATGACGAAAATGACTGCATAATCGAACGCGAAGAATTTGAAACCCGCTATTTCGACGCCATAGCTGAAGCCAAAAAAATATTAGATCAACATCATTTCCAAGAAATTCTAGGGGAATCACACATTCCGATGCCTGCCCCGTCCGTCGCGACATGTTTTGGGCCATCGTTCATAATAACAGCACCCTATCGAAGGTACAAAGATTTTATTATTTAGAAGCCTCCCTTAAAGGCGAGCCGAAAAATATAATTGGTTCTTTAACTCCAACAGACTCAAATTATGAAACGGCATGGACCCTTTTAGAAAGACGGTATGAAAACAACAAGATTATAATAAATTCGCACTTGAAAGAAATAATGGATTTAACTGCATTAAATAAAGAATCTCACACGGCTTTAAGACATTTTTCCAATACCTTCTTTGAAAATTACAGGTCTTTAGAATCGTTAGGGGAAAATGTAGGTCAATTGAACACGATTTTAACATATATTTTAGTATCCAAGCTCGATTTAAATACTAAACGCGAATGGGAAAATTTTTGCAAATCCATAACCTCTCCGAAAATTGACGATTTTAACGAATTCCTATCACAAAGATGTCAAATGCTAGAAACTTTAGATACAAAGGCATGTATAACTATTAAAAAACCTTACGAATCGCGATCGTTTGTTTCTTCGGGAGCCAACTACATCTGAAAATGCAATTATTGCAAAAATGAACACCCTTTATACTTATGCGAAAAATTCAAACAATTGTCAGTCTCGGATCGATTCGATATGGTAAAGAAAATGAATTTATGTTCAAATTGTTTAAGGTATGGGCATAAAAATTCAGAATGTCGATCTTCTGCATGTAAAATTTGTCAACAAAAACATTCAACTTTATTACATCGATCAAAAGAAAGTTCAAACAACAACTTGTGCGACATTTCAGAAAATTCTAAAGAAAAAACGACTTGCAATGTTACCACTGACAATTCTTTGAAGAGCGCGCAAAGCGGCGAAAAGTCAATTAATAACCAAGTAATGTCTAATACTTATCAAAATACCACCAATTCTTATATTTTACTGTTCACGGCAGTCGTACAATTGTACGACAAGGATAAAAATATCATAACTTGTAGAGCATTACTCGATTCAGCCTCGCAATCAAATTTTGTAACATCTTCTATGGTCAAAAAATTAAATTTGCAAACTTCAAAAATTAATATGCCTGTTAGTAGTTATTAGTCGTTACTTCACCATCCCCCGTCCCCCGGGGGAGATTTTGTGATTGAAAATTTAGATTCCCAAGCAACCGAAAAAAAAAAAATTGACCATTCTACGAGAGATGTCGCCGCCCATTAAGAACTCAGGTTTCGATCGCCAGATGTCACCCTTAATGGGGGGTAGGGGGTAGTTTTTGCGTTAGTGCCTTTTTGGCAAACTCACCCCCGGTAAAAAAAAGGGGGTTCGTAGAAAAAAGAAATTTCTTAGTGCCTTTTCGGCACTCCGGGGTGGGGGATGCGAGAAATAAATGTGACGTATTTTTGCGCTTGGCGAAAAAAGCGACCGGTGTGTCGCGCGCGGTCGGGGGATTCGAACCTCGAACCTTCGGGTGTAAGCGCCGCCGACGCGCTGTTCTTATAGCGTTTCGCGCGCTACGTTAGTCGAGCCTAGCCGAGCCTAGCCGACGACGATTTCGCGGGCCGACACGGAGGATGTGTGTCGTTTATGCCCGGTGACCCGTTTCGCGCGCTACGTTAGTCGAGCTTAGCCGAGCCTAGCCGACGACGATTTCGCGGCGGCGGCGACGATAAGAGAATTCAACTAATAAAAGGTCGTCAAGGTCGCGTAAAATATAATAATTTATTGACAACATTTTTTTTTTGCGGAATAAATAAAATGCAATAGGAAAAAAGACGTTTAATGACACTAATATCGGACAAATTGTTTTATTAATCATATACAAAACCTCATCAGGATAGACACATATTAATAAATATATTCGAACGATATGCATATATAAATAGCATATATGGACATAAATAGATACATAAATTAAACACAAATATAAACTACAATCATCTAAAGGAATCGTAACATATTAGTTTTCCAAAAGAAATATCTGCTTGGTATGTGGTCGATCAGTCAGTGATTTTCCCGCTGTCCTTTGAACCAACCAAATTTCGATGGCCCCAAGCTAGCGTGTACTCTGAGCCGGGTATAAGATGTCGTTTGTCATCCGCGTAAGACAACGCCACCTTATTTTTCAGTTCGACGTACATATCATGTAAATGTGAGCGAAACGAAGACATTTGGCGCAAAATTAGCGTGCCTTCCTCGTCGACAGCGCGCTTATAGTCGTCGAGACTAAGTTCGCGCTGGCTGACCGAGTCAGCAACGCCCTTGGCCTTTTTGGTCAACTCGTTGCCGTCCACATTTACGCAATAAGCTTTCGCTCCCGTACCCAAGAATTCCCACAACGGCCGCCCTGCGTACTCTTCCTTCATTTTACCAAGAACGGACTTGTTTACAAGAATGCCGTGTTGGTTGTTCTCCGAGTAATTAGACGTATCGAATTTGTCCAAATTTTCTTTCATATCTTCGTAGAAATTTTCGCAAAAAATTTGGACAACGAGGCTGTCGGTATCGGTATACGACTTTAGTCCTTTCCATCTGGAGAGCGACTAGATTTTCGCTTAATATGGCGACATTTTTAAAATTAGGTCTCGCGATTAACGCTTCTGCCCCCAACCTTTTCCCAATATTTTCCCAATGGGAAACGAGCCGCACGTCCACCCTTTTGTCTACATTTTCCATCGTTGTTCCAAACACAGCGTTATTCATAAGTTTGAAAAAATCTTTTTCAAACTTATTTTTAGCTGTATTACACATCGCCGTATTCAAGTCTATGTATTGTTTTAGCCAGGGAGATTGATCGAAATCAAGAACGCGATGGATGCGAACAAGCTTTAAGCCGTTGCTTAAAGCCTGTTGCACATTCCTATAATGCAATACATAATTACGTTTATTGTTTAAATTTGGAATAAGTTTTTTCATTTTGGTTTTCGCGATTGGCGAAACGATGGATTCCGGGCAAAAAGGCAGTTCGTTGTGTGCATCATGCAGCACTTCCGGATAGTCCAAATCTACTTCGAAAATATAGCCCCTAGGTGAATCGTTGGGGATACGCGTAATATCTAAATTTTGAATTTTGTCCTTCTCCAACCACTCGAAGTTTCCCGTTGGGAGGTATTGTGACATGGCCGCCCCGTATAAATTGGTAGCGTCCAAGTACATGACGTAAGAGGTAGGTTTGGAAGGGTCGTAATTAGGTAAAAATTTATTATTAGCCGCGGCCTTTCTCACACTACACTGACTGACTCCTCCGCGGATACCGTGCTTCAAGAAGTGTATCCACGTCCACGTCGGTCAACAGATCCAGTTCAACCTTTGTCGCCTTAAGGGCGCTCGTCCATGATAGACCCGGTGTCGTATAAAACTGACTCGGGCCCAGACCGTACGTTTTCAGACACACCTCTCTGAAATTTTCAAAAATATCGGCTAAAATAAAACGTCGGATTTTAAATAAATATCTGAATATTTGCCTAAAGTTTTACATTTGAACAAATTCCACACAGTCCAGGCACGCTTGTAATCCGCCCTGGTATTGTTGCTCTTTCGCGTGATGGCAGTTTGGTTTCGTCTAATTTTGAAAAAGAATCTAGATACGTATATGGAAAAACGCCCTTCTGTCGAATAAGTTGAAATTCTTGTTCATTTTAAAAAAATTTTTTGACTTCCCGACACTGACTATCGTTCAAATTTCGACTCAATCTGTCCAAACTGGATGCCATAAATCGAAATGAATCTAAAAATCGTAGTTTTAAAAATACCCTTTTTCCTTTGCCTCCTTTCTCCGACTCAATGTTATCGACTAGGACATGTTTCGTAAAGGAAATGTAACGTTCCTTGTTTTGGGCGATGACATCGATCTTTTTCCCTTCTTCAGCCATAAATTTTACAAATAGATGACTGTCGAAACCTAAATGGTGAAAAAAGACAGGGATGTGCCGCGGAACTTTGAAATTCAAGTTGCAAGTGGAGTGAGCCGCACCTCGAAATATGACAATGATCCCTTACTTTTTCGTCCTCTGCATTAAATGGCTTCTCGCAAATGTGACAAGCCACAGCGTTTCGAAAGCCGGCCTCTTATTCAAACGATAGAGTGGTCATGGGCACGGAAGTTTTCATGAACTTGTTGTAGAGCGCTTTGCAGTCGCTCGCCAACCATTCAATGAAAATTTTGTGTGCGCCCCGACCTCTGTACTGTTTAAAACTAGGAATCGTCAAAGTCACATTTGACATAGTAGGCGAAAGAGTAAGGCTCGTGAATATGAGTTTTGACGGTAAACGATTTGTCGGGATTCGGTTCGCCTTCCACCTGTAAAGGAGTCATGACTGTTTCAAAGCCCACGTACACAACAAAAGGCACTTTTAATTTATGTTCAAATTCTTCAAATTTCAGCTTATTCGCGGGAACATTTTTACCGTATTTATCCTTGCGCAATTCGGTGGTCGGAAGTTTGATGGAAATGTGAGTGCAGTCGTGTTCTTTATGACGCTTTAGTTTTTCTTCGTTATAAAAATAAACCAAACACCCATCGCATAAAAACTTTGTAGTGGACTTTTTAGTTAATTGTTTTGAAACCAACCGAGACATACTTCTTATTAAACAATAATGATTTTCTCCATAGTCATTACTAATTAATAAGAGGTTTACATGTCTCTCTGTACGAGATTCAGTAAAATGCGAAGGACCAACGACCTCAACGTCATTACGGACTTTGCTATAGACTCTCTCGAGGCCATAGACATTGACCGAAATTTCATTAAACCGTTCAAAAGTGGATATGTCCTTAAGTTTAACGGGAAAATCGATACCTGTAAAATCCAGCTCGTTCTGAAACTCTACATAGTTACTGACCCTGTTAGCGTTATTTGTCCAGTGAATTGGGTGAAGAGCAGCCATGATCGACCACATAAAGCATTTTTCGTCCGTATTTTGCAAGTTCAAAACAGCTTTTTTGGTTTCGATTTCCTTGGGCAGGCTAACATAGGACGACGCCCTTAGGGGATTGTACTTGTTAATCCCTATTTCTAAATGGAGGAGTTCCTGCAACGCCCAGCCTGTAAAAAAGAGAAAGAAATTAGTTCGGAAATATACATTTTTATGAATCATACCGCTGTCCCTTTCCTGAAACTCGGACGCTTTGGTAGCCAAGATGTCGACGAACTGGACGTACAGCTCCTCCAGATCGGTGTTTCCCCTCACCAGTCGATATTTGGTATTGAAGGACTTGACCTCCTCTTGTTCCTTCGTCTGCAAGAGGAAGTTTCCGAATAGCTCCATACCGACTTTTATGTTGCCGTAGCGTCGGACGTTCGACTCTACCAACGTAAGGATTTTGGACCTAAGGTGGTCCAAGAAGCCCTTAACGTCGGTAGGGTTAACGGTGGACGCCAGACGGCATGTAGCTATGAGGTTACGGAAGGAGGTCTGTATCATTTCTACTCCTGGCTCCTGCACCACGCTGCATTTTTGGCGGTGAGCCAAAGTACGCAAGTGTCCTTGCCATCTCATTGCAGGAATGGTCAAGTTACACTGCGTACAATGGCGCGTGGATGATGGTGATGATGATGATGTCGAAGCTATAAAATACAATATGAGAATTGTTTGGGATTTAAAAGCAAAAATCCTTACCTTCCGGTAGGTCAAGTCTCGGGCGCTTTTGTTCGTCTGCAGCAATAGGGCGGCGGCGGGTCTTTTCGCCTTGGGAACCTCATGCTTCTCGCGTTGATGGCGTCGGAGAGCCCCCTCGGATTTGTATATCCCACCGCAAACGTCACAAATTTGTACTGCTGCGCGACAATCCCCATGCCTCGCCAGGTGGTCTTTACGGCTGAACGAGCGGTTGCAATATTCGCAGGTGAACATTTTTTTTTGCTGCGAGGAATAGGCATCTCACTCTCCAACTGTTCCAGATCTCTACTTGGCACTTACCTTTTTCAAGTGGTGAAACACAAACAAAAATCCAAAGAATGAAGTCTCATTATGGCGGCGGTCACTTGTTAATTAAACCAATTTTTCTAATGAATTTAAAATTACTTTCGACAACGTTCCTTCAGAATAATTAAGATTTGTGTTGGCGAGAATTGCGCAATATAACGCAACCCGCTGATAAAATTGGTCGTAGTTAGCGACCTAACCTAACCAAACCGTCGTCGTATGGGGCCGCTTCGCTTCGAAACTCGACCGTTGGTCGCTGCGTGAATGTAAATTGCAGCGCGATTGTGTGCGGTGACTCAGGCGTACCGCCGCCGTCGCGTTTGACGACTGGATGACATCATCACCCGCCGCGTGGCAGCGTGGTCGCGTCGCCGGTGTGCGGCAGCGGCTGCATGACATCATCGCTTTGCCAAATGTTTAAACGAAACTTTGGCGGGTGAGATCATCGCGTCGCCTGCCTTCGCCGCAAAAAAAAATGTTTTAAACGAGACTTTCATATTAGACCGCTTAGGAACGGCATACGTGTTTTCCTGCGACACAAGAAATGGTTTAACCGAAACGTTTGATATTCTTACCGCATGCGTTTCCTTCGACATCGAGTTTATCGTCGCATTTCCTTCAACGTGAACAAAAACGCAAAAAAAAATCTTTAAACGAAACCAGAATCTAAATTTTCGATGAGGGAGAGTGCGGCATCACCCCGCATTACTTCAACCACATCCCTCCCTGTATATATATATATATATATATATATATATATATATATATATATATATATATATATATATATATATATATATATATATATATATATATATATATATATATATATATATATATATATATGTATATATATATATATATATATATATATGTATATATATATATATATATATATATATATATATATATATATATATATATATATATATATATATATATTCTCACGTATTGATTCACGGATGGAAAAATGTGATGACACTATATTCCGGGATATCATCCGTTCGCTCGTTGAACTCCGACTGGAATCCTGCATCCGACTGGAATCCTGCAAATCTTGCATCCGACTGGAATCCTGCAGACGTTTCGCCAAAATCTCACTTGGCATCTTCAATGCTCGCGCTCCGAAAACACTTCGAACACTGGGAGGTTATCGGCGGTGCGTGCGGTATTTATACTCTGCGCCGGAGATGGTAACGGTGCTGCTTGTGCGTGGGGGGAGGTGGCTCCGCCCCCTGAATTGTCGCGTTGTTAATTTCGCCCGATCGTAGTTGCGATGTCCCCGTTGGCTGCTGCGCATCGCTCTGCTGTTTGATTATCGTTCTCCACGTGTTGGATAAATGCAGAGCGTCGTCTCTCGTATTGAGGTGTCCGGACTTTTCTATTTCGATGGCCTCTCGTATAATCCTAGTCCTAAAATCAGGAATATTAGCTATTTGTTTGCAAGTGCCGAAATCAATTTCATGGCCTGTCTGATGTTGGTGCTGAAACAAAGCAGATGTTGTTTGTTTGTTTCTTATGGCTAAACGATGTTCCTCGAGCCTGGCTGAAATCCTTCTGTCGGTCTGTCCCACATACGTCAGGCTGCACGATCCGCATGCTACACTGTATACTCCTTGGTTTTCCAGAGTAATTTTTTGTTTTGGGTTTCTTAGTATTGCTCCGATGGTATGGTCAGGTTTGTATGCCGTTGATATGTCGTGTTTCCGTAATATTCGGCCGATTTTGTCAGTAACCCCCTTGATGTATGGCAGGACAGCGATCGATCTTCGTTGGGTCTCGTCCTGCACTCTCTGCTGCGGCTGTTGTTGTTTACTGATTGCCTTGCTGATGGTGCGCCTTTGGTATCCGTTTTGTTGAAGACAGGTACTAATTTTCTTCAGTTCTTTATCTCTGTTCCTCTCGTTTGTGAGCCTGAAGGACCGAGCAATTAATGTATTTGCCACTGCCTGTATCTGTGATGGGTGGTGATGAGATTTAGCGTTCAGATATCTATTAGTGTGTGTTGGTTTTCTATAGACAGTGTGTTCCAAGTGTCCATCTTCGGTCCTTGTGATGTGCACATCTAAAAAGGGCAGACTGTTATCCTCTTCAAGTTCTATTGTAAATTGAATCCTTGGGTGAATGGAATTCAGATGATCTAGGAATTTCAAAAGCTCCTCCTTGCCAAAAGGCCATACAACAAATACGTCATCAACGTATCTTGTCCATAGTTTTGGCTTCAGATTTGCCTTCTCTATTGCTTTCTTTTCGAAGTAAATCATGAAGAGGTTGGCAATCACAGGTGAGAGAGATGATCCCATTGCTGCTCCATCTATTTGTCGGTAAATTTTCCTGTTGTGCATAAAGTAAGCGTTTTTCAGGCAATGTCTTGACAGATCCATTATGTATGGCGGAAGATCTTCGTTTTCTTCTATAAGCAAGAGTGCCTCTTCTACTGGAATACTCGGGTAGAGGGATTTGACATCGAAACTTGCCATAATGTCGTCCTTGTCCATCCTGAGAGAACCTAAAATCTGAGTGAAATGTTCTGAGTTTTTAACATAGGAATCTGCCTTTTCCACTATAGGCTGAAGTGCACTGGCCAGATGTTTTTCCAGCTTGCATAATGGTGAGTTAAAGGCGCTTACGATTGGACGCAGGGGAACCCCGTCCTTATGGATCTTTGGGAGCCCGTAGAATTTTGGGCAACGACTCGATTTTTCCCTCGGAATAAGTTTCTTCTTTGTATCCTCGTTTATTGATGAATCGAGAATTTTGGACTTAGTTGTTTTTTCCAAATATGTCGTGGGATCTCTGGTGACTAGTTTGTATATTGGGTCGTTCAAAATATCCTCCAATTTTGCATTATAATCCGACGTATTCATGACGACAGTGGCATTTCCTTTGTCTGCTGGCATTATTAGAATGTTTTCGTTTTTGTTTAGATTCCTTAAGGCTTGCATTTCTTCTCTGCTTAAGTTTGGTTGCGGTGGTTTTGACTGTCTTAAGACTCTGGCGACATCTTGTCTAATTAACTCCGCATCTTGTTCGTCTATGGTGGAAAGACTTGCTTCGACGTTGGAAACGATCTCTTCGACGGGTACTCTTTTTGGAGCTATTGCGTAGTTAAATCCTTTATTCAGTACGCTGACTTCTGTATCGGAAAGATGGTATGCTGAAATATTATGAACTGTACTGCTTCGGTTTGTATTTGGCACTTGTCCTGATTTTTTGGAATTTGACTGAAGGATTTCTAATTTCTTCCACAGTTTTTTTTTTTTTTTTTTTTTTTTTTTTTTTTTTGACGTGATGTCCTTGTCTTTCTCAGTGCGCCATGATGTTAATAATTCTATGCGGTCCCACAGCAACTGATGGATCTTGTTGCTCAGTTTCAGGTGGAGTCTGAAAAGTTGTAGCTCAGTCTCACTAATTTCGTACCGGGTCCGCCTGATCTGGTCTTGGAGTAGGGCCTTGCTAGCTTTGTCCAGGATAGCTTGTGTCTTTCTGGTGCGTGTGTGATAAGACAACCTTGTAAATGTTGGCAGCAAGTTCTGGTTGCGGCAGCTTTTAAGAAGCCAACATTTACAAGGTTGTCTTATCACACACGCACCAGAAAGACACAAGCTATCCTGGACAAAGCTAGCAAGGCCCTACTCCAAGACCAGATCAGGCGGACCCGGTACGAAATTAGTGAGACTGAGCTACAACTTTTCAGACTCCACCTGAAACTGAGCAACAAGATCCATCAGTTGCTGTGGGACCGCATAGAATTATTAACATCATGGCGCACTGAGAAAGACAAGGACATCACGTCAAAAAAACTGTGGAAGAAATTAGAAATCCTTCAGTCAAATTCCAAAAAATCAGGACAAGTGCCAAATACAAACCGAAGCAGTACAGTTCATAATATTTCAGCATACCATCTTTCCGATACAGAAGTCAGCGTACTGAATAAAGGATTTAACTACGCAATAGCTCCAAAAAGAGTACCCGTCGAAGAGATCGTTTCCAACGTCGAAGCAAGTCTTTCCACCATAGACGAACAAGATGCGGAGTTAATTAGGCAAGATGTCGCCAGAGTCTTAAGACAGTCAAAACCACCGCAACCAAACTTAAGCAGAGAAGAAATGCAAGCCTTAAGGAATCTAAACAAAAACGAAAACATTCTAATAATGCCAGCAGACAAAGGAAATGCCACTGTCGTCATGAATACGTCGGATTATAATGCAAAATTGGAGGATATTTTGAACGACCCAATATACAAACTAGTCACCAGAGATCCCACGACATATTTGGAAAAAACAACTAAGTCCAAAATTCTCGATTCATCAATAAACGAGGATACAAAGAAGAAACTTATTCGGAGGAAAAATCGAGTCGTTGCCCAAAATTCTACGGGCTCCCAAAGATCCATAAGGACGGGGTTCCCCTGCGTCCAATCGTAAGCGCCTTTAACTCACCATTATGCAAGCTGGAAAAACATCTGGCCAGTGCACTTCAGCCTATAGTGGAAAAGGCAGATTCCTATGTTAAAAACTCAGAACATTTCACTCAGATTTTAGGTTCTCTCAGGATGGACAAGGACGACATTATGGCAAGTTTCGATGTCAAATCCCTCTACCCGAGTATTCCAGTAGAAGAGGCACTCTTGCTTATAGAAGAAAACGAAGATCTTCCGCCATACATAATGGATCTGTCAAGACATTGCCTGAAAAACGCTTACTTTATGCACAACAGGAAAATTTACCGACAAATAGATGGAGCAGCAATGGGATCATCTCTCTCACCTGTGATTGCCAACCTCTTCATGATTTACTTCGAAAAGAAAGCAATAGAGAAGGCAAATCTGAAGCCAAAACTATGGACAAGATACGTTGATGACGTATTTGTTGTATGGCCTTTTGGCAAGGAGGAGCTTTTGAAATTCCTAGATCATCTGAATTCCATTCACCCAAGGATTCAATTTACAATAGAACTTGAAGAGGATAACAGTCTGCCCTTTTTAGATGTGCACATCACAAGGACCGAAGATGGACACTTGGAACACACTGTCTATAGAAAACCAACACACACTAATAGATATCTGAACGCTAAATCTCATCACCACCCATCACAGATACAGGCAGTGGCAAATACATTAATTGCTCGGTCCTTCAGGC